AGAGAACTAGAGGAGGAGGAGGGAGGGAGAGAGGGAAGCGAGCCAAGCTGTCTTAGGTACCTGTACCAACTCCCCAAGATGATTGTAAAATGCATGTACTGCAAACACATAGTAATAAAATAACACAAAATAAAATTTAAAAACTGGAAATATAATTCAGTGGCAGTGTGCTTGTCTAATATGTGTAAGACTTTAGGTACAATCCTCAATACTGTACTGCAATCAATCAATGAAGCATGCAGCAAACCATGAGAGGAAAGAAAACATTTCATTCCTCTTTATGGAAGGATAATTTAGTTCAAAATCAAGTTGGCAATATTTGGTTAAGTAGAAGAGTTTCTCTAAGAGGAATTCTCCCCAAATGTTGACAAGAAATGCATGGATTAAGGTAAATACAGTGCATTTATAAATAATGAAAATCAGGGAGAAGCCACCTGAATGTCCACCAGGACAGAAATCAAGCAAGTTAAGTGGCTAGATTCACGTGGCACTGAGGAGGCAGAATCACTGAGGATGCACTTGATTCAAGAGCCAGGCCAACACACCAAGGGAGGTATCAGTATGTTTTTTGTTTTGTTTTGTTTTTGCGGAACAGGGGATTGAACTCAGGCCCTTGTGCTTGTCAGGGAAACACTCATTCTGCTGAGCCATCTTCCTGGCCCGTGTCAGTATTTGAACTTGCTCTGCAGCACCATCCCCTGACAGAGGGAGCAGTGGTGGAGGACCACCTGGGGGGATGATGCTTACCCATTTGCCTTGGGGACACTGGTGCCTACCCAAGGTCATACCAGGTAGGGTTGTACAGATGAGACCATGACATAGAGGAGCAGCCTTGAATGAAGACATAAAAAAAGTTGAGGAGAAGAGAATCACCCACCCATAAAAGGAGAGTGTAGCTGACACTGCCAAGAGGCAAATACAGAGAAGAAAATAATCCAGGACTGGACTGTGAGAAACTGAAAACATATTTTCACAGCTTTATTGAGGTGTAACAGGCACAAAACAAATTGCACATACCAACATGATTCAATTTAATAAGTTTTAACATATATATATATATACTTGTGAATTATTAATACATTCAAGATAATGTACAATTCATCATCTCCAATAAAAACAGGTATCCCTTTGTAACCCCTTTCCCTACTCTCCCCATCTCTGTCCCAAGGCAACACTTGATCTGCCGTCCATCGCTATAGATTAGTTTGTATTTTGTAGGATGCATATAACTGTAATAATGAGCACAGTTTGATTTGGTTTGATTTAGAGAGGCTTTTGCTTTGTTTTTGGTCTGACCATTGATTCAGCCTAATTTTTTAGCAGTCCATTCGTGTGGTTCATGTATCAGTAGTTCATTCCTTGTTATGGATGAAAATTATTGATTATATTGAAAGACCACCACTTGTTTACCCATTTGCCAACTTACAGGTATTCCAGGTATTTCCATTTTCAGGCTACTAAAGTACAAATAAAGCATGTATGAAATACTATGAAATATTTGTAATACGTATTCTTCCATTTCTCCAAGGTAGATAACTAGTAATAGAATGGCTAAATCATATCATGGGCATATATTTAACCTTTGAGGGATTTCCAAATTGTTACGCAGAAGGGGAGTGCCATTTTATATTCCCACCAGCAATACACAAAGACCCTGTTGTTTCTACATTCTCAGCCATAGCTGATATGATAAGTCATTTCATTTTAGCCATTCTAATGGTATGTAGTGACAGCTCATCATGATTTCACCTTGAATTTTCGGAATAATTGAGAATGGAAATAGACCCTTTAGCAATTGGAAGGCTGAAGTGATGGGATCCAAAGGAGTAGACAAGGAGACAGGAGAAAAACAGAAAATATAACATCATAGATGGTTCCTTCCCTACTGGAGTTTACATTCTAGTGGAACATAGTAGACAGAAAAGTAGAACAACAACAACAAAAAAGTAGAACAAAAAGAGCCCAATAAAATCATTCCTGACAGTGAGGACAGTGTTAAGGGAATGAAATAAAGGTAGGTAGAATGAAGCAGGTTCTGAAGAGGCAACAGGGGAGCTCAGCCCTCAAAGAGCTCCAGAAATAACTGAGGGGTGACCTCTCACAGTAAAAATGACTCAAGGAGTAATCAATAGAGTCAAAATATTTTAAATAACTCAAGGAGTGATCAATAGAGTAAAAATATTTTAGCATGAAGACTGAAAACTATTTCAGATTTCATGACATGGAGATCACTTGTCCCCTTATCAAAAGGTGTTCTAGTACGAATGAGATTCAGTTTCCAACCTCTTTCATATTTCCAAAATGCGTACTACTGCACAGCCAGCCAGGCAATGCCCTGCCCACACGGGGCCTGCCTCTCAGCTCCACAGGGCCACTTTTCTGAGCTCCCAGGCCTAAAGCAGCAGCTGGCTTTACTTTGAAGCAGTTCCAGGTTTCTAGAAGGTGCTATGCACTTGATTCCCTGGCAAACTACTCTGAGACCCAAATTCACATACAGTCATTTATTAGGGAGTATTATCAGGTTCACCAATTCTGGGAGAGGCCAGAAAACTGTGCAGGGAGAAGTTGAACTGTGATGAAGTAACCCCAAGGAAAGTCTTCAAGCTTAGAGGGCCCTTCAGTGTTGCCTACAGCTGGGTCAAAGTTTCCGTGCCTTCATTCTCTGCATAGGTGAATTACTGGATTCCCCAGGACAGGTCTGAGCTAACTGTTCTTAGTTATGGGCAATTCCTGTATAGCCAAGAGCCATGTGACAGCAACATCCTAAGCAGCTTATTCCCTTAGGCTCTGAAGGAAGATGTAGGTGGTACATTGCAGTGTCCACCTAAGGAACTGATTCCCTAAGCTTCTAGGCTCTTGTAACCCCAGGCTTTTCCCTTGGCTCTTTACCTAGAGATGGAAGCTACTTTCTTTACCATCTCTAAATTACTGCAGCACTGTCTTCATGCTTTTTCCATCATCTAATACTTGTTTAAAGAATTTCTTTTACCAAATTCTCTGTCGGGTGTGGTGGCACATGCCTGTAGCCTGTAATCCCAGCTCTTGGGAGGCTGAGGCAGGAAGATCACTGTGAATTTAAAGCCAACCTTTAAAACGAGTTCAATGCCAGCCTGAGCTGCATAGAGAGATCCTGCCTCAAAAAAAGAGAAAACAAATCTCTAGTACTGCTCTTATTTTCCTGACTCACACACTTCTCCACCTAGACAACTCCAAAATGGATAGAGAAGGCAGAATGTGGGTCAGCCTGTGGTTGACTGACCAGGTTACACAAAATGTGGACACATCAGCGTGAAGAATATGAGGGTGTGTTCTGCTTGCACTCCTGTACTTCCAGTCATCTGAAATCGGTAGCCTGTGTTCTGCACCCTGTGACTATGACCTTTAAGGGGGAATGTGCCCAAACTTGGGGCTTCCTCAAGCCCCCATTCACTGCATCTCTGACGTGTTAGTGATCTGAAATTTTGTTAACATAGACACAGTCCAAGTGCCTGACTTCATGTGGAAGTGACCTGGGCTCGGGGATAACGGGACTGGAAAACAGTACAACTGGTCATAGCAGCACAGCAGAGGTGATTATAATGCAAAATATCTTCTTTCCATTTTTCGGACTATGCCAGATCTAATTTGGGGTTGGACTGAAATGCTAGAGACTTTTAGTGCCCCAAACAGAGCTTGTCAATTAATCAAAGGTCCACCACATTCATGTGTAGTTATCCAGGCTTTGTGAGACACATCTGAAATACTGCCTCCAGCTCTGAACCTTAAGAAGTAAGCAGAATGCATATGCATGTCTGTTATTCAAAGCATACTTTATTAACACAGAAAGACATGATTCAGGTCAGTATCTGTATGGGGAAGTTGAGACACTAGAAAGCACCACTCGTGTAGTATCCCATGAACTTGACTACAAGGAGGAAGCAAACACATCATGACTATCAAAAATTCCTCACTGATGATAACTCTTTCCCCCAAAAAACAAAACTGTGCTGACGGTCTTAAGTACAGAAATCTAAAAATACATTACAATTAACATTAGGACTCAGTTTATTTTTCAAATATGTTTTAAAATGCATTAAGCATCTCTCCTGCTTCTCCAATTAAGTGAAGAAACCTCAGTTTCTCTCCCAGATCCACCTTTTCCTCTCAAACGAGAATGGAACAGACTCCCAAGGCACAGACTACGATGCCTGCTCCACAGCTGTCTTGCGCTGGCCCTGAGAGCGGCCCTCGCCCCTGGGGGACACTTCCTGTGGCAGGCTCGCCTTGCTGCTCTTCCCAGCCCCTTCAATCCAGGGATGTTGAAGGACCTGGTGGGCTGTGTAGCGCTTTTTAGGATCCACCACCAGCAACCGGCTTACCAAATCCTTGGCAGCTGTGAAGGCAAGAGAAAGAGGTGGTGAGGACGTGGTTCTGAGCCCGCCTCCATCCATGAAATGGAAGCACAAACATCCATGCTCTTTCATGTACACTGCAGGCCAGGGCAACGCAATTCAAAAAAAAAAAAAAAAAAAAACAAAAAAAATACACTCTAGACCTACTCTATCCACAGGAAACTGTAGATAGCTCGAAACCTGGCTAGTGATACTGAAGAATCAGATTTTTATTATAT